CAAGACCAGCCTGGGTAACTTGGTGAGACCTCATCTCTACGATAAAAAAAAATAGAAAATTAGTCGGGCATGGTAGCACATGCTTGTAGTTCTGGCTATGTGGAAGGGTGAGGCAAAGGATCGTCGGAGCCCAGCAGTTCAACGCTAGGATGGCCTTGAGTATGCCACTGCACTCCAGCCTGGGTGACAGAGTGAGACTCCAACTCAAAAAAAAAAATTTAAAAAAACTAAAAATAAAAGAAATCACAAATTCATTCCGTTCCTTGTCACCCTTGCCACACTGCAAGCGCTCGGTAGCTAGATGTGGCTGGTGACTACTGTACCAAACAGCATAGGAAACAGCACCCATTTTCCATCAGCACAGAAAGTTTTCTGTTGGTCAGTGCTGATTTCAAACCACTACTTCTACATAATAAATTAGTAAAAAGACACCTTATTTTTCTGGTTATTTAAACAATTCCTCAAGAGACCCCTGCTGGATAACACTCTACTATCAGAGTTTCAGTTATGAGTACTTGAAAGTCATGAACCTGTATCTAAAGAAAATGTTATTAAATTTACATGTATAGCCACACAAGGAATAATATATGACTTTTTCTTAGAAAAAAGAGGAATAGGGAAGTTATTTTTGTACTGATTTGAAATGACCTCCAAGATTGGTATGAAATAGAAATGCCAAGGTACAGATATTATGTACAGTGCACACTGTTGGCATATGTCTGTATTTGCTTGGGTATTCAGAGGAAGGTTCTGGAAAGCTACAGAAGCAACCGTGGCAGTCTTGGAGTAGCTTTCCACTTTCCACTATTTAAGTACTAGATTATGTACTTAAATGTTAAAAGTGGTTACTATGTGTGAGGTAATGTCATCTTTTCCAATAGACATGTATGTATTCTCTAATCTTTTTACAATAAGTATGCATTATTTGTGTGGTTAAAAAAACATTCTGTGCATCTCACTTTCTCCATTCAGACTGCTTTGCATTCTAGGCTGCGTGGTCCAGGTTTGATTATACTTGTGGATAAAGTGCAACACTGACGTTCAGTGAGGACCCAAAGGACCCTGGCAGCAGAGCAGCCAAGAGTCAGGATGCCTGGCTCCCCCAGAGGAGCTGCTGCCTCTCCACCCACAGCCCCTCCTCCCACTTCCTTGGGGTGCACACCTGACACTGTTGAGCACAGCCTTGTCCTTGGTGGGCGGCTTGGTGATGGGCCGCTTGGTGCTCACCACTTTCACAGGGTGCTGCTCCTTCCCAGCTTTGCTGTACTTGCTCTTGTCAAACTTGGGCTTTGGCACGCCATACTTTCTCAGGATCTGTGGGGTGCAAAAGCAGGGAGGGGTGCTCAGGCTCCCCCCACAGGGTACCCGAGGTCCAGCATGGCCATGGTAGGGACAGGGCGGCTACCTGGGTGAGCTGGTCCTCCAGCACCTTTTTTGGAGGCCGGACATTGGTGAAGAAGAGGTGGAGGAGGTTGCCTGGGGTCTGGGAGTTGATCTGCTCTTTGCTAAGGTAAATGTCAGAGACTCTGATGGGCTTCGCTGGTGTCAGGCTCAGCGTCTGCTCTGAATGGGCACAGCTCTTAAATATTTCCGTCAGAACCTCTCTGGCCCCGGGCACCAGCTTCTCCCCTGTTACAGACGGAGGGAGGGCAAAACAATTCTGCCGTGAACACACTACGTCAGGACAAGTCCTGCAAGCAATTATGTTCCATAAACCCTTTACTTTTGGTGGGGGTAATGAACATTTGGTGGAGACATGAGTTGCCCCCACAAAGCCTTTGTGCATATGTCTGTCACATGCCCAGCCTTCCTGCAGGAGGTATTGCCTTCTCCTCAAGGGACAGGAGCCACGTTGGGGCCAGGCTGCTCTTCTCTGCACCCATCCCCAGTAATGGCTGCATGAAGATGACAGGGCCCCGGGATGGTACCTCCGTGCTCATGCGGACTCTTATATCTACAAGAAATCAACTTCCACTGGGTCTGAGCCACTGTCCTCTTGGATCTACTTATTACAGCAGCTCAGTCTATCTTAAGTTCAGCAGCATGCACATGAGGGATAACCCCAAAGGAAGAAAAGGACAGCCAGCCAGCAAGCAGCTGTTGTGCAAAGTACAAGGTATTACACAAGTGACTGCTTTAGTGGGAAACATGTTTCAAAACTGGTGTGATGAGCAGGTGGAAAAAGAAAGTTTTCTGATACAAGAAAACTGTCCACGAGCACCAGAAAAAATATTTATTTTCTTGTCCTCAAACAAGTACTCCCTTCCTAAGTGGCCAACCTCAAAGTCATCTGCATGCTTCTCAGGTATTGTGCCTTCCCCTCCCTCCCGCCTTTTCCCCCTCCTCTCCGGTACTGTCCCCTCTCTTGGGGAGTCTTGCCTAGAGCAGGCCCAACTGTGACAACTTGAGCACATCTGGGCTAAGGGAGGGAGAGGAGTGTGTGGAAGGGGAGGACTGAGCCCCAAGAGCTAACAGCACAGTCACAACTTAAAGGATCTCACATGCAGAATGTTTGTGGCAACGTGAGGCGAATATAAATGTTACCAGAAGCACATATAGAAGACCAGACTGCAACAGAATAGGGAATTAACACCAAAACTCAGATTCGAAGTACGACAAGACTGAGAGAGCAATAATCACGGCAGAAAGACCTCAGGCTCCCCGTTAAGTGGATCTCACACTCCTCATCCACCTTGTGGGCAGCAGGTAGGTGAGGAGCTAAAAAGCATACCCATGGGGGACACGCTGGGACTTGAGAGGCTGCCAAGGCCTTCACTCAGCATGAGGTCAAATCTAAGGAGACACCAAAAAACTCAGTCATCAAGATAAATAATATTTCAATGCAGTATTTTAGGAAATCAAAATTAATGCAAAGAAAACCTCATGATGAACAAAATCTTTACAGTATTCTGCTGAGCCTGAATAAAAGACCAGTAATATTGAACCGGTCTTTATGTAAAATTTTGATTTTGCTCATTATGGATTTTTGCATTAATTTTAACTTTTTAAAATATTATGTTAAAATAGCACTTCTCATACTGGCTGAGTTTTTTGGAGTCCCATTAAATTTTGTGCCCAAGACCTCACTTACCTCATCCTGATCCCAGAGGGACTATTTCCAAATGTCATGATTGGGAGTATCATTTGAAACAACAAAACCTCTCCTCAATATTACATTTATTTATATCTATCTATCTATCGATCTCATTTAGAGTTGGAGTCTCACTCTTGTCGCCCAGGCTGGAGTACAGTGGCACACTCATGGCCACTGCAGCCTCGACCTGCTGGGCTTAGGTGATCCTTCTGCCTCAGCCTTCCAAGTAGCTGGAACTACAGACATATGCCACCATGCCTGGCTAAATTTTTTTAATGAATTTATTGTAGAGACGAGGGCTCACCAAGTTGCCCAGGCTGGTCTTGAATCCCCAGGCTCAGGCAATCCTCTCGCCTCGGTCTCCCAAAGTGCTGGGATTATAGGCTGAGCTACCGCGCCTGGCCAATGTTATATTTTAGTAGTTGGAAAACATAAAATAACAACTCTATTATGAAATTTCAAACAACATTCAAGATTCAAGTTAAAAACTTAGAGAAAAACTGATACGAAACAAAAATGATGACACAAAGAAGTTAGTTACGAAAAGAAAAAATAAAACTGGCATTTGCAGTGAGGCTTGGGTGGGCAGTGGGCTTAGACCAGAGCCTAATGTTGGATTCAGTTCTGTGGGGGCTTCATCAGAGCCCTGGGTCCCGATGGATGCTTGGTTTTATACCAAAGCGGGGAAGCAGAGTGCCCACACAAGAGCCACCAGAATGACAAAAGGGATGGAAAATGGGACTTTTGTGAAAAGGGGCTGGAACTGTTTCTTCCCCAAGAATCAGCTTACAAGGGTGAGCCATTAGCTGTCCTTAAGCATGTGACCAAATAATTACCAGATGTTTTAGCTGAACAGAACAGAACAAAATAAATACACTTGAACTTGAACTTGAAAAAGGGGAGGCCTGGATAGACAAAAAGGAAAAAAATGACTTGAATACAAGCCCACATTCACGCCTGTGCCAACTGTGTGAAGCCAAGGCCAGTGGTCTCTCCAGCTGGAGCAGAGCAGGCCTGCAGCAGGAGATGCCCTGATGGCTGTCAAGCCCAGACAGCTGGCAGAGGGTAGGAATGTTCTCTTACATCACATGAAGATTCACACAATCAGCCACCACTGGCAAACAAGGAGGCTCTTCTCCCATTTCCCAAATGCCCCCTGAGTCATTTTTGAAATACACAACCCCAGAAGAGCTGTCAAACTCTACATTAATGTGAGATTTGTTAAAACAGGGGAAATTGAAGAGGAGGGATATTTTTTCCTCAATTTTTTTGCTCCAAACAAATCTATTAATTAAAAAAAATCCATAACCCACCTTTAATGGACTTATCATTGAAATAATCTTCTAACCCTGGGCTCCCTTGAGTATCAAACAAACTCTGATTTACTACAGATACAGTGAGAATCTCTTCTGTTGACATTTCCATCAATTCATCTTCACCATCCAAACTTGACAAACCAATCAAATCATTATTGTTAAACAAGCTTGCTCGAATTTTCTCGATTTTGGCTCGGGATCTTATCTGTGTGAACAAAGAACAGGGTCAGGTTTGAGTAGAGTGGCCCAGTTGTTCAGTATGAATGAACTTTTCCTTTCCCACCCTGCTCTGGAAGCCCCAGCTGTCTGGAGAGGTAGAGAACTCGGTAGCAGGCCTTCCTGGGATACCTTCTCCCAAGGGCAAACAATGGTGACTTTTAGGAGAACAACCCAACTGGGTACCTCTGTTGCTAAGCCCTGGCTGAGACTGTGGCTTTACTCTGATTCCCAAGGAGTTAACGTCCATGCCTGACTCTGAGTAAGTCCCTAGGAAGGAGGCTGAGGACAGAAACCAATCCTCCTTTCAGAGTCTGCTGGGAGAGTAATGCAATGCAGGCTCTCTCCTGGGTGCTTTTCTCTACACGTCCAACAAGGGGGAGGGTCATTTTCACTTTTGAGCCTAACTCCCATTGTATAAAGGAATAGGAAGACATTTGATGTAGGATTTCTACACAAGGAGGCACAAGAACACACAGGATCTTGAAGTAGAAATATGACTCTGCAACAGAACATCCTCCGAAACTCAGAATCACCTGGAACAGAATGGCAAGAATCTGTTCTCACACTGCTCAGCAGAGATCCCTCCTGCCAATGGCAATGCTGAGACAACCCAAGGCTACTCAAGAATACAGGATGGGACCTGGGTTGGCATGCGTGCGATGAAGCCCAGCTGCCATGAAAGGTCAGTGCCTGAGCCCTCTGCCTCCCTGCCACACTCAGCAGTGACTGCATTTACTTTATGACATCGGGCTTGATACCACGCTTAAAGGCATCACCGCAAACAGACTCATTATGCTGGTTCCAAGGACTGCCAGGGGAGCCCCCAGGTGCTCCAACATTATCCATTAGGAAGTAACTTTGGAAGGTTTACAAAGGCTTGGGGGTTCAAACTGGTTATGACCAAGTGGGTGCCAAAGCCTGAGAGCTGTTACCTCCACAACTGCAAAGCCTTTGATGGGGCGTGCCGTAAGGGGCTGATTGTCCAGGGAAGTGACTGTGTACATGGAGCCCATGTCCGACACCGAGGCTGTCTCTGCATTGTCCAGAGGCTCCCCCAGACTGCCCAGGCTGCCCAGGCTGCCGGTGCTGCACAGGGAAATGTCCAGGCTCTCTTGACTGGACACCACATGGGGCTCCAGCAGGCCTGGCGGGATAGGCAGCTCGAGGCCTGAGGGCAGTGGGTCCACAGAAAGGTCACTGATTGTCTGCGAGATGCCCTGAGAGCTGCAAATGGAGGCCTGGCTGGTAGAGGCAGATGCACTGATGCTCATGGCGGGGGTCAGGCTGCTGGACGAGCTGACCTCCAAGCTGTCTGTGCCAGGAAAGCTCAGGGTCTTCTCTGGCTCGGCTTTCCCATCACCACCCTCAGCCTTGTCTTTCGGTTTCTTGGGGTCTTCTTCCTGCAGTGGGATGTAGATCTCGTCTTTGAAGACCCCGCCATGGGCATTGCAGGCCTTGCGGATAGCTCCTCTGACGATGCCCTCATCTAGGTGGGTGGGGATCCCAGAGATCACCAGCAAACGGCTGTGGGCAGTGGGGCCCACAAGGGCCTGACAGGCATCAGTGATGGCGTCGCTGGTCACGCCCAGCCCCTGGGGGTCCTTCCGGGTGAGGTGCCGGAGGATGATAAGTAAGGTGAGAGCGCGATGGAACCACAGCATGTCCTCGGGCTTGCTGCCACCGATGCTGAGCATGGTAGGGTCTGAGTCCACCGTGCGAGAGGACTGGCGCTTCCCTGAGGAGGAGGCCTTTTCCCGCTTCATCTTGACTTTTTTCCTCTTGGACAGGAGGCTGGGACTCTGTGGGGTCTGTCCCGGGGAGGACGAGGAGGAGGAGGATGAGTCACTGAGGTTCGGGGCAGTTGTTGAGGTCACCCCGCTGGCAGTGACACTCATGTTGGTGGGCAGGGTCACTTCGGCCACTGCTAGGCAGCCCTCCATGAGTGCATGAAAATATGTAGAGAACCTGCCCTGGTCACCGGCCACAGCTGCCCCAGAGCTTCCGCAGGTGCTTCCTGAGACCCAGCTCTGGGTCTCCTCATCATACAGCTTGTGGAGCTCTGACTGCAAGGCCATCAACATAGCCAGACAGGGGTTCAGTTGGAGGGCGATGGAGGAGGACAGGCCAGCGGGATGCCTCCTCTGTTCCAGGACGTGCACTGTACGCAGGAGCTCCGCTAGGAGATGGAAGACGAGCTCCTTCACGCAGGCTGCCATGTCCGTGGTCCACAGGAAGTTTCCTGAGGTGAATATGAAATCATAATAACAGCAATTATTTATGCAGCACTCATTACATGCCAGGCACTGTACTAAGTACTTTAATTACTTCAACCCTCATGACAATCCTGTGAATGGTTACTGCATTATTCAGCCCCATCTTACAGACGAAGAAATAAATACAGAGATGAAGCCCCAGCTCCAAGTCACACAGTTACCAGAGGGAGAGCTGGGATTCAGAGTTAACAGGTCAGCCCTGGAGGCAATGGCCTTGTCCTCTGTGCCCCACGATTGGGTAGCCTACTTCTGGGACTCAGGCAAAACATCATCATTTTCTGTCTCAAAAGGTTATCCAGGCCAGGAGTGGTGGCTCACGCCTGCAATCCCAGCATTTTGGGAGGTGAAAGTGAGAGGATTGCCTGAGCCCGGGGGTTTGAGACCAACTTGGGCAACTTGATAAGGCCTCGTTTCTATAATAAATCAAAAAATTAGCTGGATGTGCGGCATGCTCCTGTAGTTCCAGCTACTTCGAAGCCTGAGGCAGAAGGATTACCTGAGCCCTGCAGGTTGAGGCTGTGGTGACAGTGAATGTGCCAATGCACTGCAGCCTGAGCAACAAAGTGAGACCCAACTTAAAAAAAGAGTAATCCCAGAACTTTGGGAGGCTGGGGCAGGAGGACCGTTTGAGTCCAAAAGTTCAAGACCAGCCTGGGCAACACTGCAAGACCTAGTCTCTATAAAAAAATAAAAAATGTCAGGCTCGGTGGCTCAGCCTGTAATCCCAGCACTTTGGGAGGCCAAGGTGAGTGGATTGCCTGAGCCCACAGGTTAGACAGACACCAGCCTGGGCAACCTGGGATGACCTCGTTCTCGACAATAAAATAAAAAATAGCTCTGCATGATAGCGCACATCTGTAGTTCTGGCTACTCGGAAGGCTGAAGCAGAAGGATCGCATCACTGGAGCCCAGAATGTCAACACTTGGGTGGCCGTGAGCGTGTGTGCTACTGCACTCCAGCCTGGGCAAAGGAGTAGGACTCCGACTCAAAAAAATAAATAAATAAAAATAAAAAAATTAGCCAGGCATGGTGGTGTGCACCTGTAGTCCCAGCTACTTGGAAGGCTGCTATGAGCCACTGCATTTATTTTTTATAGTTTGTTCGCGAGAAGAGAAGGAAAAAGCAAGATTCATGGCAGAAGGACCTGCCATGGACAAGTTTCTCAAAAAGAAAAACTGGTTTTCGCATGTATTTTTTAAAGGATTTATTCATTTTATTTTGAGTCAGGGTCTCACTCTGTCCTCCTGGACTCAGGCGATCTTCTGCCTCAACCTCCAAAGTTGCTGGGACTATAGGTACACACCACCATGCTCAGCCAATTTTTAAAAAATTTTTTATTTTGTAGAGACAAGGCCTCTCTATGTTGGCCCAGGCTGGTCTTCAACCCCTGGACTCAAGCAATCCTTCTGCTCAGCCTCTCAAAATGCTGGAATGCTAGAACTGCCATGTCACTTCCTCCACTGTCCTTCCTCTACCAGCTGATATTCATGTAAGAGAATGACCTTGGAGATTCTTCTCCACCAAAATTGCACACGGCAGCCCATGAGCTGAGACTCACTCCCGGACAGTGTTTCTTGTTTATGTGCCTCCATCTTACTCCTGGGGTGTTCTGAAGAATTTGACATTTAAAAATTGAGAAATTCACATTAATACCTGGATTCTAGCTTTTCTTGAAATAAAAAATTACAGTTCCAGCAGGAGTAAGGTCATGTTCTTGTAAGTGGCAGGCTTGGTGGCATGTGCCCTCAGTGCCCTGCAGCTCATGGAAGTCCCTCCACTTTTCTGCTTTATGTCCTTCATTTGACCCTCAGAGCTTACAATATTTTCTTTCCAACATTTTATTATTAAAAATTCAAAAATACAGAAAAGTTGAATAAATTACATAATAAATACTCTTATACCCACTAACTAGAGTCTACTACTAACATGTTACTATATTTGCTTTATCACACATCTGCTCATAAACCTCCCTTAGTTTTTGATTCTTTTAATTTTGAGTTGGAGTCTCACTCTGTCACCCAGGCTGGAGGACAGTGGCATGCTCACAGCCACTACAGCCTTGACCTGCTGGGCTTAGGCGATACTTTCGCCTCAGCCTTCCAAGTAGCAGGAACTACAGACGCACGCCACCATGCCCAGCTAATTTTTGTGATTTATTGTAGAGTGAGGTCTCACCAAGTTGCCCAGGCTGGTCCCGAACCTCCAGGCTCAGGCAATCCTCTCGCCTTGGTCTCCCAAAGTGCTGGGATTATAGGCTAAGCCACTGCGCCTGGCCAGATTATTTCAAAATAAGTTGAAGACATCAATATATTTCATCCCTAAACACTTAAACAGGCATATCTTTTTTTTTTTTTTTTTTGAGTCATGGTCTCATTCTGTTGGCCAGTCTGGAGTGCAGTAATATGATCAGGGCTCACTGCAGCCTCGACCTCCTGGGCTCAGTTCATCCTTTTGCCTCAGCCTCCTCAGTAGCAGAGACTACAGACACGTAGCTAATTTTTTTGTAGACATGAAGTCTTGTTATGCTCCCCGGGCCAGTCTTGAACTCCTGGGTTCAAGTGATCCTCCCGTCTCTGAGTCTCAAAGTTTTGGGATCCCAGGTGTGAACCACTATGCCTGGTCAGGTAATCATTAATTAAGGTTCAATATTTACTTAGAACTTTTCAAGGTAAATTTGCATATGGTACAAGGCACAGCTCTTAAGTTACCACTCCATGAGTTTCGCAACCCAGTTTAACCTGAGGAGCTGTGCAGTTAGAATGCTTACTTTTGCAACATCACTCACCTCCATGCCACCTCTCACCCTCAAAGTTATAAGAATGGCATCTATTTATGTTTCAAAATAAAGTAGGGTGGATTGCCTGAGCCCGCGGGTTCAAGACCCACCTGGGCAGCGAGACCTCATCTCTACAATAAATCAAAAAATCAGCCGGGCGTGGTAGCGCATTCCTGTAATTCCGGCTACTTGGAAGACTGAGGTGGAAGGATTGCCGGAGTCTAGCAAGTTGAGGCTGCGGTGGCCAGGAGCGGCCACTGCACTCCAGTCTGGGCGACAGAGTGAGACTCCAACTCAAAAAAATAAAACAAAACAAAACAAAGTAGGATACAATTAATCTTATTTTCATGGTTAGTTGTTACCCCTTAAAACAACAAAAAGCCAGGCTCGGTGGCTCAGCCTGTAATCCCGCGCCTTTGGGAGGCTGAGTGAGTGGATTGCCTGAGCCCGCGGGTTCGAGATCCGCCTGGGCAGCGAGACCTCATCTCTACAATAAATCAAAAAAAAAAAAAGTCAGCCGGGCGTGGTAGCACATGCTTGTCATTCCCGCTACTTGGAAGGCTGAGGCAGGATTGCAGGAACCCAGCAGGTCGAGGCTGCGGTGGCCAGGAGCGGCCACTGCACTCCAGTCTGGGCGACAGAGTGAGACTCCAACTCAAAAAAAAACCCAAAAAAACCCCCCAAAACCAAAAATGCCTTGTAAATCATGGCTCTGGGAGTCTAGGCTATTCCTTGAGATCTATTCCCTAGCGCACTTCAAATGGGAGCAATCTAATGGGGCTGCAGCTGACTGGGCCTGTGGCTACTCTGTAGGCCACTCGGCAAGTTCCTTCCTCAGGTACCATGACAGCTCCTCCCCCGACCCCACCCAGATCCTGATCCCTGGGGAGGCAAGCCTCACCTAGCAGCTCCACAACCTGCAGGAGCACGGATGTCGGAATGGTGTCAGGCTCATCTTCTGATTTCCCTTCGCTGTCCTCTGCTTTCCAGGAGAGCAGTTGCTCTGCGAAGGCCATGGCCAGTGGGAACTCCAGGGGCAGAGAATGTAACACCAGCACAGCTCCGGGAGGTGGCGACACCCCTGGAAGAAACACCCAGGAGGAAAGTATGTGATTGGTGGTACCTGATCCAAGTAAGCCAGACAAAAGGACCTGCCAGGTGTGCATGGAGAAACAAGCTGGAAAGCCCACCCACTCCATCTGCTCAAGGTGGAGAAAATGTAATTCCCCAGCACTCCAGAGCTGGCTGCAGGGGCAGGAAGAGACGGAGCCCACCTCTCCAGGGAATCCACCCACTGGGGTGGCAACAGAACAAAGGGCAGCTATGGGACCAGAGAAGGACAGATGCTCTCTTCTTGGTTAGATACCAGTCGTATGACCTAGAATGGGGACAAAAAGTCACACTTTATATTCCCAGCTTCAAAAAGACATAATCAGTCCTTTTGTATGACTACAACCCCTCTAAGACAATCACACTTACACAGTGGAATAGCAAGGCACCCCCAAAACTTAAGGCACTATCAGGGCCTTGGGTTTTGATTCCCTTTTATTGCTTTCTATCATTGCTATGGCCTACATCTGACCAAAGCTGCCTACAGTGACAGGAAAGCGGTCCTGAGGCCTGATTCCCTTGCACCCTGCACTAGTCTCCACCCCCACTACCCAGCACCAGTCAGACATAAGCCAGAGCATCAGGGGGTTTTGGACATGCCAAGAGAAACCATGTTGGCTTTTCACTTTGGGGTAAATGTTTACATAGTGAGAGTTGTGGAATAATAGTTAAGACAGAGATCTCTGTTTTTAATGTAAAGTCTAAAAATCAGCTAGTATAAGCAAAATACTATGAAAAAATAGATACTAATAAAAAGAGAACATAGAGCTATTTAGCAATGACCAAATCACATGAGAAATGTCCTTTCATTTCATTCCCTAAAGATACAATGTCTCCAGGGCTGGGGCAGTGGAGAAGCCAAGGCACAGATTTCTGGTTGAAAGTTCAAATATATTTTCTGCCTCTGGAAAACACGTGTCAGTCTTTTCTTGTCAGACAGGCCAAGGAAGAGCCATGGAAGCCTGGGACTAGGATTTCCTCTTCTCTCTGTGGCTCTGAGAAACAGAGTTAGCTGGCCCTGGTACACTAAGAGGACAGGCAGCAGCAGCTTCAGGGTGCGTAGGCAGAGTTCTCATTTAACTCTAACACTGTGGAGGCTTCAAATAGATGCCTCAGAGATGAGGGTAGTTGGGCTCCTACTTGCATGGGGAGCAGACGCTCATGGTGGCCAGTGCCCTGGAGAGCCGTGTCAAGAATCTGGGTTTAATAAGAACTTGAGGCTGGGCTCAGTGGCTCAGCCTGTAATCCCAGCACTTTGGGAGGCCAAGGTGAGTGGATTGCCTGAGCCCACAGGTTCGAGACCCGCCTGGGCAACTTGGTGAGACCTCATCTCTACAATAAATCAAAAAATTAGCTGGGCATGGTAGCGCATGCCTGTAGTTCCAGTTACTTGGAAGGCTGAGGCGGAAGGATCTCCAGAGCCCAGCAGGTTGAGGCTGCTGTAGCCAGGAGCATGCCACTGCACTCCAGTCTGGGTGACAGAGTGAGATTCCAACTCAAAAAAAAAATAGAACTTGAGGAGCGGCAGCTGGGATTATAGCAGACTGAGTCAGCTGTGAGGAGGAGATTGCTGTTTAGATCATGCTAAACAGTTCGTATCCCAGCACACGCATGTGAAAGGAATGGAAATCCCCACTGAAGCCTGGGTAGTGTCTGCCAGGCCTTCCCCAGGTAGTAAAGGAAAGTCTTTGAATTTACTGCCTCTAAAAGAAGCAGTAGATTCTTTAGAAGATGTCCCAGGCAGTCCCATTCTTTATCAATAGGAACTGAAACATGCAAGGCACAAAATCCTTTGCATTTTCAAGAAGGCAGCAAGCAGAGAATGACTTCAGTTGTTCTCATCCTCATGAGCTACTGGAGACTCACCCAGTTTGATGTGGACCCTGTCTGTGGAGAGGACCACAGAAGGGTACTGGTCAGCAGTGGGGGGAGGTGCAAGTCCAGTGTTGGCTGGGGATGCGTCCCGTGGGTAACAGGCCGCCTCGATAAGGTTCAGTTGGCCGTTTCGCTTCACCTTGTGGCCGAGCCCGTACACAAGCACCCGTGCCCACGGCGCCTTGTACAGAGAAGAGCTGAGGAGGAGGGATGGATGTTATCACAGAGTCCAGCCACACATACCAGGGACAGGCAGCATTGCTTTTTCACCAGAGGGAATTAAATGAGAACTGCACATAAGCATTTCTACCCATCTGTTACTTCTACTTTTTTTTTATCCCCTGTTTTTTAGAAGGTCTTTCTTTATAAAGATGAATTCCCCAAATATGAAAATATGGGAAGATCCGTAAATCATTTGCATTAAAGAATCAAAACAATTTGAGTTTTTTCCTCTGCCAGTTTCACCAGAATCCCTTAAGTCTTCCCTCCCCATCACCACCTTCTTGAGAACAGGCAACTTACTCTTTCCGGAATCCAGACTGACTTTCTTTGCAAGACACAACAACAAAAGCCGCCCCGGGGAAATTAACATCCATATTGACTTTGGACTCAGAAATTGGGAACTCTTCAGAGGGGAACTGCTCTGGTGCTGTCTGCAAAGACATTTAATAAGGAAAGCCCATTTAATGGGCAACATACAAAGAAAAGCACCTCACTACTCATGTCATGAGGCACAGGGAATCAGCCAAAGCATATGCTGTGAAGGACCAAAAAGCCCTCCAGAAGGAAGAAAACTGCAGATGAGATGAAGCAGAAGCGCCTCTAAGAAAAGGAAATTGAGGGGAATGGGGCTTGGGGAGAAAGGAGAGTCATTTTTAGCAAGCCAGTGAGACTTCTAATTAAAAATGGCAGCTGCAATCTAGGGACATTGGTTTTGGACTTCTACCTGCAGAAAAGAGCAGATCTGTTTCGTCAGCTCCAGAAGGCTCTCCTCGCCCTGGTGCAGGGTCCTGGTGATGGCTACATTAAGCCACTCTCTCACTGTCTGGGAGTTGCCCTGGTAAAACAGGTCTGTGGCGGAGCAGTTCTGGGAATGTATGCAATGCTGTAGAGACTGTGCCAGGAGAATTGAGCTGGAGCTGATGGTGCCATCTGGAAACAGAAAGAAAACAGCAGTTGACAAGACCCAGAGCAGCTGAGAGAGCCCAAGTAACAGACAATGAGCAGCTCATCCAGACTCCCTGGACTGGATGGGTTATCTTGTATATAACATCTTGAATATAAAGTCACAGGCATTATTAATCAGATCCTCTGGGTGGTGGTGGTGGTGGGTCAGTGAGGGGTTCAGGAGATCAGTGGTCTTCAAACTCCTATTTAGCAGCAAAACTGTTTCCTAAAATAAATCCCAATTAGAGGCCCAAGACTCCGAGACAGATCAAAGTGGGGGCTGCTTGGACTCAAAGGGTTCCCAGAGCCTGACCTCTTCAGCTGTCCTGGCCTATCCTGACGATACCAAGGAACTTCTAGGGTATCTCTGAGTGTAGTCAGGAAAGAAACTACTTAGGTCATCATGACAAAGCTTTCTCCACAATACCTGAAGCTTTCCAGGTATGTTTCAGGGCCTCTAGGTTCTTGGCGTGGGCCGGTAAACCCCAGGCACGCAATGGGCCAGTGGAGATGTAGCACATACATGCACTGTCTGGGACCTGATGGCTGTGAGCTAAGGCAGCTACCCAAGATGCCATCTGGGCTTAGAGTGCTGTCTGCAGGCAGGCTTTGGAGGGTGCCCCCTGTCTGCTTAACCTCTTATTGCCATCTCAGTTGCTGGGAGATCAGAGGGAGCAGGCTGGAGGCTGAGGTACCAGTGAAAAACAGAAGGGGCTCCATTCTTGGACTGGGCTGAGGGCAGACTCATCCGCTGGCACTCACCAGGGGAGTACATACAGCCCTCATGCCAAGGACACAGAGGCTGGTCCATGAAAACAGCTTCACCAGAAGTCACAATGAATCAAATAACTCTGCTCTGGAGGAGTTTAATAACAGAAACATTTCTCTTTCTTTCCAATGCCAAATTGGCAACAATACAGTGACTAAATTTCATTAATAATACTTAATTTTTCTTGATCCACAATTAGCTTGGAAAGCTCCATGACTGCTTAATGGATTAAGGACTAAAGTGAGTAACATACTTAAATTTTCCTAAGAGTGAGAAAGCACTGCCAGGAGAATCCCAGTCCCCTGGTGCGATTTCTCCATATGAGTCTTAATGTACCACATTGCATTTCTCATCCACCTCGTGTGGAGAATGACTACACTAAGTAGTCTCCGGGCTACTCTACTCTGGGGCTGAGTTCTGGGTGACAGTGGCAAAGGCAAGGTTTACCTGGGAGGGGAGGAGCGAGGAGCTGATTGGACAGCAGTTGCAGGTGCTCCAGGGTAATGTCCCGGATGGCAGGGATGTGGAAAAGACGGGTAAACAAGTGAGGCAGCTTGGGGGCGAAGATGTTGAGCAGGGCCATGCGACAGTACAGCCTGGCCAGCGCAGCCTCGCAGCGCAGCAGCTCTCTGTAAAGGGAAGGCAGGTGAGACATACTGAGCACCAATGCTCTGGCCCCCAGCCTGGGACCAGACTGCAGCGCTCTGAAGGGAAAGAACCATACTTCAGGTTTCTCTTCCGGACCTATTCAAGTGTACCCTAAATGAGTCACTTGAGTTTAAAACAAAAAGTCACATTTTGTAATACTGTTTCCCTCTCTCCCCAACTTAAAAAGCACCGTGGAAAAAGATATGAAAATATAGGTCCACACAAAAACTTGTACATGTTTATCGCAGCATCATTCGTAATAGTTAAACAACAGAAACAACCCAAATGTGCATTAACTTAATGGTAACACTATGGAATATTATTTAGTCATAAAAAAGATGGAAGTCCTGATACATGCCACAACATGGATAAACCATGAAATTTATGTTAAGTTGAAAGAAGTCAGACACAAAGGGCCACATAGTATATAAGTCCATTTACATAATTGTCCAGGATTAAGCAAATACATAGAGATAGAAAATAGACCGGTGGCTATCAGGAGCTGGGACATATGAGAATGGGAAAAAGTTGCTACTGGGTATGGAAGCTTTTTTCGGGGTGATCAAAATGTTCTAAAATTGATTGCAGGTGAGACCTCGTCTCTAAATTAAATTTAAAAATTAGCCAGGCATGGTGGTGTATGCCTGTAGTTCCAGCTACTTGGAAGGTTGAAGCAGAAGGATTGCCTGAACCCAGCAAGTCAAGGCTGCAGTGGCCATAAGCATGCCACTGTGCTCCAGCCTGGGCATCAGAGTGATACTCCAACACAAAAAGCAAACAAACATGCCAGGCATGGTGGCTCAAGTCTGTAATCCCAGCACTTTCGGAGGCTGAGGCAAGAGGACTGCCTGAGCTCAGGGGTTCAAGACCAGTCTGGCAACTTGATGAGACCTCATCTCTACAATCAACCAAAAAATCAGCTAGGTGTGGTAGCGCATGCCTGTAGTTCTAGCTACTTGGAAGGCTGAGGCAGAAGGATGACCTGAGCCCAGCAAGTCGAGGCTGTGGTGGCTGTGAGCAGTGTGCCACTGTACTCCAGCCTGGATGACAGAGTGAGACTCCTACTCAAAAACAAATAAATTTAATTGCAGTGGTGGGTGCATAACTTTGTGAATATACTAAAAATCATGCAGTTGTGTACTTTAAATGAATAAATTGTATGATATGTGAATTATATCTTAATAAAGCTATTATAAAAATTTTAGCCAGGCTCAGTGGCGGTAATCCCGCGCCTTTGGGAGGCTGAGGTGACTGGATTGCCTGAGCCCGCGGGTTCGAGACCCACCGGGGCAGCGAGACCTCATCTCTACAATAAATCAAAAAATCAGCCGGGCATGGTAGCGCATGCCTGTAATTCCGGCTACTTGGAAGGCTGAGGCGGAAGGATTGCCGGAGCCCAGCAGGTTGAGGCTGAGGTGGCCGGGAGCAGCTACTGCATTCCAGTCTCGGCAACAGAGTGAGACTCCAACTTAAAAAAAAAAAAAACAATTTCACTGTGGGTATTTTTTGTGATGAATGTATAAAGTAAAAGACATCGACCTTAAAAAGCAGCTCATTGGTCTCATTTAGAATTATATCTTGTGGTAAAGAATCGAATCTAGTTAATACTAGGCATAGGGGTATTTTATTAGCTAATCATCATAACTAAAAATTCTCTTAGTATTAAGAAAGTAACGAAAAGTTAGAAGCAGACTATTGTTTACATAAAATGTAGGCCAAAAACTCACTCTGAATCAACAAAAGTCATCTGGTACTGCCTACTGACCCTAATTAAATGTACTACTGATGTATCATAACTCAGATTTGGGTGTGATGGCAATTAAAGAAACAACCCACCATGTAATACCCAATGAGTTTATAGAGCTATGAAGTAAGCAAAAAAGAAGATGGCTAAGAAGCTGCATTTTAAGTGGTTTCTTTCTCATCTGCACCAGTTTATATGGTTCTCATGCCAGAATTGAAAATAAACCAACTCCCCTATTTTCTCCCTCCCGGGAAGCCCATGTATTGACTGCATTAACAAGGCGCATGCTGGGTGCGGTGACTCATGCCTGTAATCTCAGCACTTTGGGAGGTGGAGGTAAGAGTAACGCCTGAGCCTATGGGTTTGAGACCAGCCTGGGTAACATGGCAAGACCTCATCTCTACAATAAATTAAAAAATTAGCTGGGCATGGTGATGCATGCCTATAGTTCCAGCTACTTGGAAGGCTGAAGTGGAAGGATCACCTGAGCCCAGCAGGTCAAGGCTGCAGTGGTCCTGAGTGTGCCACTGCACTCCAGTGTGGGTGACAGAGTGAGACTCGGACACAAAGAAACAAACAAACACAAGGCACATAAGGACCTCTGCAGCAGAACAGATGAGGTCTGAATGGGGGAACTGAAAACTCCTGGTTTTCCCCACAGTTTTCACCTCATATTTCCAAGGTGGAAGTTGGCAGGGACAAAGCTGTAATGAGATTGTTTTGGATCCAGCCTGCAGCCCTGTTTAGACCCCTGCATACTATCAATGTTTCTGAAGCCACTGCTGAGAGGCCCTCTACCCTTTGTTTTCCAAAATCCTCTCTAAAACTCATGTGAGCCTTTAGGACAGCATACCTCTGATGAAAATCAGTGCTGGAACCAGAAATCCAATCAATTAATGATCAAACAAATTTGCATGGTATGTTTCAGATTTCTCCTAATACCGAAATCGCTGCACTGATGCTGACAGTGAATGTCCTACAGGAGGCCGACTGCAACAGGAGGACTTTTCAACATGTATTTCCAGTTTATAATGTGTGTTAGGGTCCAGATTAGGCACTGGGGGCTCTAGCAAAGAATAAAACAAAAATCTCTGATTTTAGGATGCTTTTTATCATGACACTTTTTATCATGACACTTGGTGCCGTGTCATGATATGAATTTGATGTCTAATAGAACTTAAGACCAAACAAGGGTGGCACACTTCAACATCCAAGAAGAAATGGCAAGGAGGCAGTTGGATATGTGTATCTGGAGTTCACGTGAGACATACACAAGTTGGCTCAAAACAGACAAAATAATGAATGAGAAAATTGTGATGGCTAATGGATGAATAGCATGAAAAGTAGGTTATGGAATCTCTTATTAAAGAGCTCCGTTTTGAGTAAGTTTTCCTCTGAATTGTTGCAAGTTTTTGAGACTGAAAGGAATAATTCATAGGGGAAGTGGTATTGATACACACAAGGAAACTTGGCTAGATGTTTAGGTTTGAGCCCACTGAGGGCAGGCCTGTGCCTCTAGCACCTTCTCCTTCCTTCCAGAGAAGACTGCACAGGCACAACGCAAGCATTCAAGCCAGACCTGATTAGCTTCACACAGGAAGGAGCTGGCTGTTTACATAGTGCCTAGACCTCTTATTACTGGCTTTACTCTTCGTAACTTTTCCCACACCCTTCAAATCTCTAGCCATCCCTCTGTTCCCTCAGTTCACAACAGAGGGTGTGTCTTACAGGCCAGGTGGTTCTAGACCCCCCAACTTCTCTTCTCAACCCCTGTAAGTCTGCTGTTATCTTTACTAGCTGCCTCTCTCCTGTTAGCTTTGGAGGACACGCCTTCTTGTTGAGGATAAACGGTACGTGTAGTAAGGCAGTCTCTGGATCTCTAGGACCCATTAGAAAGAAGGGCTCTACTGTACCTGTGGATTTGAAGGTTGGTATTGTCCAGTGTGACCAACCCATTGGTGGCAGTCCTTCGATAGCCTGCTGGGGGCCTTTCCAACATATCAATAGGATACCAGTATCGCACCAGGACACCTTCACTGCGGAGATATGTTTCTACCTGCACCAATTCATTCACCTACAACAGGAAAAGGAAATGTCAATTTGTTTTTCTGAACACTGCTTTATTTTCCAAGGATGTGTATGTGTGTGTGTATTTTACATCCAGGCTTTTAGACACTATACATAAAATTTGCATCTAATTGCTATTTCATGGACAAAATAAATGAACTGAAAGAGAATCCACAATATATCTTTGAAGCACATATTACAAGTTTATACTATATAAACTTGCATATTTTTCTGAGAAAATAACAAAATAATAAAAATTGGGAATCATGGAGATTTTTAATGAATTCTTAAATATAAATGTGAATTAACTGTATAATAGAAAGGCCAGTTATTCAAATCAATTAAAATAGAAAGAGAAAGGTGCAGGATATATATATATCTCATATATATCTCAGACTATAGCAATAAATGCTAGTTTCATGCCACTGATTTAGTCAAAAATTCAAAGACATCTGTTTAGAATTGATGGTGCTTTAGTTTTTCCATACCAGATGAAAAATTTTAATTGATACAATAAATTCAAGATCTTCAATATAATTATGAGTTGGTGATTTAAAGAAAATAGTGCTATATTTCAGTACACATTGTTGCCAGGTAAAACTTATGTTTATTATTTTTATGTTAATAATTGCTTAAAAGTTGGGAATCTGTCTGATAGCTTGTTTTTATTGCTAGGAAAATACAAAGTCAGTTCATACATATGCATTCTGGATTCAAATACCAATGCAATTTTTACTTAGAGATTATTAAAACAAAGAGAATCAAATTACTTTGGAAATAACAGAATGATCATTATAAGTAAATTTCTACTTTTACTCATTTCCATTGCTCAAAAATACTGTCAATAATGTATTTTCTGATAGAGTCAGAGCTTGCATCAGAAAGGTGTGGGAGGTTAACAGTATTACTGACAGAATTTTCTTGTGGGAGGTTAACAGTATTACTGACAGAATTTTCTATCTGAAAGTTTACTTTGGCAAATCAGCAATCAATAGCCTCTTTAAACAAATTTAATGATTTAATTTAAGTTTGGATAAAATATAGTCAGTTGAAGATATAAGGAAGATACAAATTTCAAAGCATTAATGGTACCTAACATTATCTGTTTTATTTCTGTCAAGATAGATATCAAAGCTTTTATCAATATAGCTATACATATTAGAGACTTAATGAGAGACTCTTAGGCTTGATGTGTATATGAAAAACTTCTTAAATGCAGTGTGTATGCAACCTTAGGATATGTAGCCACGGCTTTCAAACAGGATTCTGTTTTCAAAAGAAATCCTCAGCTTTGCCTTCTCTCACTCCTGTCTGGCCTTTCTCTGTCCCCACCCCTAAAATAATCTTTGTTAAGCCCCGTGAAGAGCTTTGCAAAATAGGGGAGAAAACTCCGAGCTAGTTTAGTACACTGTTTTTACAGATAGACTGAAAGAACCAGTGAGACAACATGGTCAAAAATCACTAAACTATTTCTTTGATTTATGTCTGTATAACATGGTGATGACAGATCATTCATTCATCAAGAACAATGGGAAAATTTTCCCTTGGTACTTGGATAGATACAATGTAGGGACAGCTTGAACATGGCTGACAGAAAACAGTGGCAGAGGCAGTGTGGTGGAAGATGCTGACAGCACTGATACTCCAGAGTTTATCAACCATCACTAGCCCTCACCTCTGTGAGAAGACCTCATGCAAGTCATTTGACACCACAGCACTTTTGCTTGGTTTCTTCCTCCCTAATTTGAAGAGAAACCCATCTGTGTAATCACTTGTTAAGGTATCTGGAGTCTGGGCATGAAAGCCTCAGTATACATAAAAGGGAAGGGCTTATTAAGTAGAATGGCTGTTCACTCACTGAATCAACATCCAAGACAACTCCATGAAGCCCAAAGGTTTTCAACATCCCTCGGATAGCAAACTTTGGCAGAGCAGTTCCAACAGCACTGCTGGTCACGTTATTGCTGTCTGGAGAGCGGGTTACTACCGTGAGACCTGAGGAGGGCAGAGAGAGAAGTTTTTTCGAGAAGAAGTACAATTATCATCTCAGGACCCCATATTGTAGCATCCAGAATAGCTCTTCAGTCTTTAACATTAAATTATCCTTAGGTTTGTTACAACCAAAAAGGACCATAGCTCAGCCTGGAAGGTAATACAATAAATTGTTGTAAAAAATCTTACAATTCAAGAATAAAGACAAATAAACCAATTAAAAATGGGCAAAGCAAGAGTTGGAGACCAGCCTGGTCAACATAGCAAGACCTCATCTCTGTAAAAAATTTAAAAATTAGCTGGGTGTGGTGGCATGTGCCTATAGTCCCAGCTACTCAGGAGGCTGAGGCAGAAGGATCACCTGAGCCCAGGAGGTCAAGGCTGTTGTGAATCATGATTGTGTCACTGCACTCCAGCCTGGGTGACAGAGTGAGACCTGACTCAAAAACAAATGAACAAAAAATGGGCAAAGGATTTGAATAAACATTTCCCCCCAAAGAAATTAAAAGATAGACATGAAAAGATGTTCAACACCAAAAAGACAGACAATCACAAGTGTCGGCAAGGATGTGGAGAAACTAAAATTCTCATACATTGCTGGTGGGAATGTAAACTGGTACAATCACTTTAAAAAACAGCTTGGTAATTCCTCAGAAAGTTAAACATAAAGTTACCATGTGACTCAGCAATTCTACTCATACATATATATACCCAAGAGAAATGAAAACACATATCTACACAAAAACTTGTACACAAAAGTACATGGCAGTATGATTCATAATAGTCAAATATGGAACAATTCAAATGCCCATCAGTGGATGAGTGAATAAACAAAATGGGGTAAATCCATATAATGAAACATTAAACCATAAAAAGTTATGAAAGCACCAGACACAAAAGAACATTTGTTATATGATTCCATTTATGTAAAATGTCCAGAACAGGAAAGTCCAAGAAAGGAGATTAGTGAGTTCCAGTGCTAGACTGGACAAAGGGAAAACTGGGGAGTGATGAGAGTCCAAGATTCCTTCTGGGGGGGGATAAAAATGTTCTGGAATTGGATACAGGTGACAGTTTGATGGTTGTACAACTTTGTGAATATATGAAATACCAACAAATTGTATATTTTAAAAAGAATAGTTTATGGTATGTGAAGTACATCTAAAAAAAAAAAAAAGAGAGAGAAAAGAAACTATATATCCCTGTCCCTGTCCAAGATGTTCCAGTTTTTTGGTAGATAACAGATTTTGATCTTTTGGTAACTCTAAAAATGAGTGCTTTTAAATTATCTTTTTTGTGCTTTTCTGTAATTTCCTCATTTCTCCTAAATATGCAACAGATAAAGAATACATTCTGTTAAAATCCTAAAAAGCCCAGTGGCACCATGTAGATGTGGTTTATTATCTCAGAAGCCAGGACTAAGCCTGAGAGGCCTATTTTAAATTCTCAGCCCAGGCCCTACTTCCCCTCTTGTACAACTGCTCCGCCTCATCCTGCTCATGCTAGTGTGTTCTAGAAAGTGGGAGAGGCCAAATGTTTGCTTGTGCTGCATTAGGGTGCTCTAGGGCTTCACATGTCGGAGCCGCAAGAAGCCAAGTCACTCAGAATAAGGAGAGTCACCCAGGACAGCCAAAAGCTGCTTGGCTCATGTTTGGGAAAATTCAATTGCTCATTTCATAAGTGAAGTAAGGAGGAAAAAAAAACCTTTTCGAACTTTATCAATTGTGAACTTGTTTGCTTCATCTTTAATGTCTTCGATGGTGGGAAGGTAAAGGTCTCTTGGGATGCCACCATTCTCCTCATAGAGAAATTCAACCGTCTGCCGGGCAATATCCACCATACCTAAAAAATATAACAGGCTGGGTAACTTTCTAGAGTACACAATCTTCAAATCAACAACGACAGTGACTTCTACCTAAAGAGAATCTTTTAAGCAGTGTTTACAGGAGTACATAACCTTTTGGGGAAGATTATTATGCAGTGTCTATCAAGTTTAAAATACTAAATATACTACTTCTAGTTATGTCTCAAATCTTTCCCACAGAAACACAAGAACTAGTGTGCAAAGGAACAAGAATATTCACTGTAGCACTGCCAGTAATCGTAACAAAAAAAATGGAAATAACCAAAGTGTTCATCAATACAGAGTTACTAGAAAAGATGGTCCATCATTATGCAGTCATTTCATTTTAGTTAACACAAAAGAACAAACTATAAGAGAAATGAAGAAGAAGAAAGTAAGAGTATGTTTCTTACTTTATACATTGCTGAACTGTTTGATTTTTACTGCAATAAAGACATGTTGCTTAGTTAAGAGAGACAGAGAGCTACATCAGCTTCTGTCCATTACTGAGATTTGCTCTGTTTTTCCTTCCCAGAGGGCGAACATAATATTATGTTCAATATCAAAAACCACTATAAATTAATAAATCATGTAAATAAGTGTCCAATGCTCAGAGGGGGAACAAAAGCATCAGAGGGAGGACAGTGGGGGGGCACAATGTCTCCACTTGCTGTTGCTGCCTAGACCCCACAGTGCCCAGGGTATTGTGATTGAAAGAGCTGGTGTTGTTAGAACCTGCGCTTACACAAGGCTTAGCTCTGTCTCATGTGTCTACTGCTCTTTTAGTCACTGGTCTGTAATGAAAAGGTGTGGCAATTATTAAGCACAGTTTAAAAGGTGCCTACGGTTAGAGAAGAATGCATTTGGAAATAAGCATTAGTGAGAATAAATAAGAAATTGTGGCCTAACATGAGATTATGGAAAAGTAATCTCTACAATGTTTCCAAAAGGAATAGTAGAGATGAGAAAAAATACTGTCTAATAAGCAGGTATCAGGGAATAGAGGAAGACTGCCAAATCAAACCTTGCAGAGCACAAGTTGCATTTAAAATGAGGAAAGTCCAGAGACACTAAGTATGCTGTGAAGCCCACACAGCTTGTAAATAGCAAATCTGTGGCTTCAGATGTGACTGTTGACCATTAGGCCATAGAGTGTCTCATGATAGCCACTCCAGCTTTAGTACAGCAGCCTGTCAACCCAAAACATTGAGTTAAACTGACAAGCAAACAAAAGTCCAGCAAGGAAAGCAAAAGACCACAGAGTTCACTAAAGTACAGGTCGAAGACACTGTTAACTCTAGCATGACATTAGATGAGCCCCTCTTTCCTGATTTATGTCCTAATTTTCATCTAACCCATCTCTTCAAGTCATGAAGTGAGCGCCTTAGGAAAACAAAAAGCACCAGACCTAGTTGTAAAGCACCCTTTATCTGGTCCAGGCCCGATTTCCGCTCTGCTTCATTGCGGAAGCGTCTTCGGATGGTAGGAAAGACCTTGGTCTCCCATGCTTTCACCAGCAGAGCATAATGGTCCTCCTGGAAGGAGAAGGAACCTCATGAACAGGAAAGAATGCCTTGTGCAGGCATCACTGCTTCCCTAACAGCTCTCACCCTGAGGTCTTCATCCCACTCCAGTGCCAGGAACAAAACATCAAGTATGAACCCCTGTATTTGATACACCCCTCAGTGAGGGGAGGGAACAGTTAGACTGGGGCAAGCTTTTCCTTTCCCTCTAAAGAAGCCACAGAAGCGATTTCACAGGGTTCTGAACTCATGGCTGAATTACAATCAAAGTACTTCATTTCTTCAACACCTGCATCTCCACTGGGCAAAAGGGACCAACAGATATCGCTAGTCACTCAGAGTAAGGAGAAAATTCAATCGCTGGATAGGCGTTTAGAGTCACTGTTCAAACATAATGATGTCATTGAAAGTGTAACTATGCCAGCCTCACACTCTCACATTAATGTCATTCCTCAAGTTCATCTTTATCACCAAGCTCATGCTGCCAAGTCCTAACCCATGCCTGTGGGTCTCTCACCTGTGGGATGTCATCATCATCATCATCATCGCTTTCATCGTCTGCAATGGGAGGCGGGTGAGGGTCTGGGCCAGAGGTGATGAAATTCTCATAGCTGAGCTCGACTTTATAATGACAGGAGGTATCACTATCATATTCTGTAACAAAGCACAAGGACACTGAATTCTAAACAAGAGCAGCTTGGAAAAATCATTAACTTCTCACCCACAGACAAACTGGATCCTCCTAATTTGCATTATAGAAGAATCCTAGTACTCTGAGGAATTTTAAAGCAGTCTAGGAATAACTAATTATCTATAATTACCCTGAATCCTAAAATAGTTTGCATGAGTATAATTCATTCAACTCAGAAAAATTTAGAAAGTTCTTCACTATGAGAAAGAACTAAACAGACTCTTAAAACTGTTTGCAAGAGATACGGGCAGCCAACAGAAACATGAAAAGGTGCTCAGCCTCACTAATCATCAGAGAAATGCAAATCAAAGCCACAATGAGATACCACCTAACCCAGTAAGAATTGCCATCATTAATAAAACAAATAACAACAGATGCTGGCAAGGATATGGAGTAAAAGGAACACTTCTACACTGTTGGTGGGAATGCAAACTAGTGCAACCCCCTTGTAAAACAGTGTGGTGATTTCTGAAAGAACTAGAAATTGACCTTCCATATGACCCAGCAATTCCCCTATTGGGAATATACCAGAGGAACTCAAATCATTCTACAAAAAAGATACCTACACACGCATGTTTATTGCAGCACTATTCACAACAGCAAAAACATGGAATCAACTGTGCTGACCATCGAAACTGGACTGGATAAAAAAAAGAAAGTGGTACATATACACAATGGAATATTACGCAGACATAAAGAAGGACCAACATATGGACTTTGCAGCAACTTGGATGGGTTTAGAGTCTATCATACTCAGTGATCTAGCACAAAGAACAGAGTATCATATGTTCTCACTCATAAGCGGACCTTGAACAATTATGATAATACTATAAGATACGGACTGACAGTAGTGGGAAACTGCTGTGGAGGGGGCACACCCCAACAACAAGGGTACCTATATAATGAACATTTGTATACCTAACCTGAATTACATCTTCAATAAAGAAGAAAAAAAAAACTATTTGCAAACCAGCATCCTATGGACCAAATATGGCCCACAGACATCTTTAGTTTGGCCAGCTCAATTATATTCAATTTTGTTATAAAATGTTTCAAATAATCAAAATATTTTAGTGTACATCTCTTTAGTGTACAATCAGATTGTATAATTAGCATTTTCTTCTTCTTTTTTTGGTTTGGAGTCTCACTCTGTCGCCCAGACTGGAATGCAGTGGCCACTCCTGGCCACCGCAGCCTCAACCTGCTGGGCTCCGGTGATCCTTACACCTCAGCCTTCCAAGTAGCTGGAACTACAGGCATGCACAACCACGCCCGGCTAATTTTTGATTTATTGTGGAGATGAGGTCTCGCACCCGCGGGCTCAGGCAATCCACTCACCTCAGCCTCCCAAAGGCGCGGGATTCAGGCTGAGCCACCAAGCCTGGCTATTATTCTTTATCTCAGTTTTAAAACAATTTTTGCAAATGAGTAATACTGTGAAATGAGGAGACACTTCATGTAGGATTCTTGGGTCTAGCCAGGTATGGCGGCTCATGCCTGTAATCCCAGCACTTTGGGAGGTGAAGGTGAGAGGAATGCCTGAGCCTACCGGTTTGAGACCAGCCTGGACAACATGGCGAGACCTCTACAATCAATCAAAAAATTAGCTGGGTGTGGTGGCGTGTGCCTGCAGTTCCAGCTACTTGGAAGGCTGAGGCGGAAGGATTACCTGAGCCCAGCAGGTTGAGGCTGCAGCGGCCGTAAGCATGCCACTGCACTCCAGCCTAGCCAACAGAGTGAGACTCCAACTCAACAACCACAAAAAGGATTCTGGGGTTTTTTGTTTTTTTTTTTTAGTGTCTTACATGCTTTAGCTGGCACGAGGAGTGGCAGGCTTCCTACAAATGGGAATACATTTCCACTTTCCAGTCTGCAACACCGTCTCCCCACTTTCTGTCACCTGGCCTGTTATCCCATTACTGATGGGCACTTGAGTTTGCAAACCTGATTGTAACAAGGATGCCCAAGTTGGATTTATGGAATTTCTAACACTGTTAGCCCCAGAAGTGGTGGGGGACTAGGAGGAGGAGGCTTACGTTGCTGAGCAGTGGCCACGGCAGCGATCCGGCATGGTGGTCCATGAGTGCCTGGGTCTGATGCAATACTGGTACCAGCATCGTTGTCACTGTCAGATGCCATGGCGAAGGGCAGGGCCTCGAAGTTAGCACTGATCTCTTCTGCCAGGTCGGTGCACAGGTCGGCGGCATTGCGGTGGGCCTGCCCTTCGGCATAGGCAAATGGCCGGGAGCCAAAGTTAGCTCGAGTTTTGGTGTTCTGGAAAGGAGATCCAATAAAGGATTTGGAAGGACTTAGGTTTATTTTTATTCATCTTCTTAACACCCCGAGGTGCACTTCACTAAACATCAAATCAGAAGACTAGTCTGAGGTGTGGGCTAACAAGAGAAAGCAGGCAAAGGCTGGTCCTGCATACTGGTGCTTAAACTCTGCACAGCCAGCTCTTCCTCCCTCCTCTCACCTCGCACTCTATCTCTCGTTTTCAACACTGTTGCTTTCCCCTGACACCACTGCACATACAGTTCCCTCCACCTGGACATTCTTTACTCCAACTTTGTCGAGTTCAGATTGGTTAATATCCCAGATCTGTCTCAAGCATCACTTCTTCAGATTAGATTTGCCTGCAGCTTGCTTCCATAAAGTCTACAATTTTCATTCATAGCATTTATTAGCTTGTGATTTCACACTTACACACGTATATTTGTGTGGTTTTTTACTAGTGTCAGATTCCTCCAACTGATTGTAGCCACATGAAGACAAACATCATATCTGTTTTGCTCACTGTTACAAATCCAGAGCTTAGCATAGTGCTTAACAAACAGTCAATGTTCAATAAACATTTGTTGAATGAGGCTGGGCATGGGGGCTCACACTTATAATCCCAACACTTTGGGAGGCCAAGGCAGGAAGATTACTCGAGCCCAGGAGTTCAATACCAGCCTGGGCAACCATCTCTACAAAAAATAAAATTATCCAGGCATGGTGACACTTTCCTGTAGTCCTACCTACTCAGGAGGCTGAGGTGGAAAGATTGCCTGAGCCCAGGAGTTCAAGGCTGTGGTAAGCCAATGTACTCCAGACTAGGTGACAACGAGACCCTAATTTAAAAAAAATTGTTGAATGAATGAACAGGCTTAGAAATGCTGCTTTCCATCATTAGCATCTTTAATTCACTCAATAAACACAGAAATACAAGATGGCATCAGAGAAATGGTGTATAACATGGGTCCCCACCCCCCCAGTATTGGTCCATGGCCTGTTAGAAACTGGACCACACAGCAAGAGGTGAGTGGTGGGTGGGCGAGTGAGCAAAGTTTCATCTGTATTTACAGCCACTCTCCATCACTTGCATTACTGCCTGAAATTTGTCTTCTGTCAGATCAGCAGCAACATTAGATTCTCATAGGAGCACAAACTCTGTTGTAAACTGTACATGTGAGGGATCTAGATTGTACACTCCTTATGAGAATCTAATGCCTGATGATTTGAGGAGCTAAGGTGGTAATGCTAGCACTGGGGAGCAGCTGCAAACACAGGTTAACAGCAGTGAGGTTAGACTGCACATCCCCTGCTCTGTCTGTGGAAAAACTATCTTCCATGAAACTGGTCCCTAATGCCAAAAAAGATTGGGGACTGCTGTGGTATAGGGTCAAATCCTACAGGATCTTGTAGGCCTTATTTTTTTTTTTAAAGAAAAAAAAAAGGTGGGTCTTGTTATGTTGCCCAGGCTAGAGTGCAGTGGCTATTCACCAGCACAATCATAGCTCACTGCAGCCTCAAACTCCTGGTTTAAGTGATCCTCCCAGCCCAGCCTCCTGAGTAAATGGCATACAGCATCTTGTAGGTCATTATAAAGACTTGGGTTTTTACAAAGTATGATATGGGAAGCCACTGACTAGTTTACAGTAAAGAAGTGACATTCTAACTAACATTTTATTTATTTTTTTGAGTTGTAGTCTCACTCTGTCGCCCAGACTGGAGTGCAGTGGCTGCTCCCAGCCACCACAGCCTCGACCCGCTGGGCTCCGGTGATCCTTTCACCTCAGCGTTCCAAGTAGCTGGAACTACAGGCGCATGCTACCACATCCGGCTAATTTTTTTTATTTATTGTAGAGATGAGGTCTCGTCAAGTTGCCCAGGCGGGTCTCGAACCCACAGGTTCAGGCAGTCCACTCACCTCTGTCTCCCAAAGCCACGGGATTACAGGCTGAGCCACCGAGCCCGGCTCTAACTAACATTTTAAAGCATCACTGTGACTGCTGTGTAGAAGACTTTGTGAAAGGGAAAGAATGAGGGCTAGGAGAAAAGTTAGGAGAATACTGTGATCAGCTCCCCAAGAGATGATGGTTGCTGGGCTAGGCTATGAATGGGGGAAAGGGATAAATGGTAGATTCTGGATGCATCCTAAACATAGAGCCAACAAAGTTTGCTGACAGACTGAATGTGGAGCAGGAAAAAAATGAGGAATCAAGGAAAAACATCAAGGTTTTTGGCCTTAGCATCTGGAAGCACAGAGCTGCCATTTCCTGAAAGAGAAAGACTAGAAGAGCAGCGGCTATGGGCAGGAGGGAGTCAGACTCAGTCTTGGATGTGTGACTTTGACGTGCCAGATTGACATTCACTTTAAGATGCTGCCTAGACTGCTGGGCATATGAACATAGAATTACGGAGAGGTCTTGGATGGAGATACAGACTTGAGAGCTACTGGCATGTAGTAAGTAATGATGTTGCAAAGAACACTGGCTATTCATAGGTGCTCCTTAAAAACCAAAAAAGTTCCATGATTAGATACACATGGGGAAGCTAGATTCAATAGGTTGAACTTCTGAATCTTGACTGAAGATTACTCCAAGCTTCTGACATACTAAGTGACCCAAAACAAAATTTACTTGACCACAGGATCATCTTACTGACATTTGAAAGAACACTAGTGTTCCTTGCATTGCTATTTGGGAAAGATGGTTCAAAGGATGTCAAAGCAGTGAAGCACTAAGTTCTTGATACAGTATCGTCCAACCCAAGTCTGAGGGTTCAATGCAAGGTACATACTTGCCCTTCCTTCTGTCATGTGCGCCATGTTATGTACAAGGAGGACACAACTGGTACCTTTTGTTTTCCATTCCTGACAGGACCATATTACCAGGGAGAATTTGTTTTCCTTTCCCAACAAGGTAACCTGCCTTTTTCTGAATGTGAACCACCGGCCACATGCCACCAGAGACATCTTCAAGATATGGTGAGAGGCGTTGTCCGCAGTATGTGAAGTACACCCGGCCTTTGGCTGGCTGCCCTGGAGGGGGTGGAGTGCCCTCGGTTCTCTCCCAGCCAATTCCTGCTACATCACCTACAGCAGGAGAATAAGAAGGAAGCAACACGTTTTCTCCCTATTGACTATAAAGTAAACTAGTTTGCTACCAGAGTGACGCCTGCATATCACTGACTCGATTTTAATTAGGCCCTTAATTATCTCTGAAAAAGAAATGAAGCTACTGAATTTAAATAGATATAAAGTAAAACAATAGAAATAAACCATTTAAAAAGATATCAGAAACTACTTAGAAAAAAGAAAATACGTAGTGCCTGTGTTAAGTTGACCACAATTACATATTACATTTAGCCTTTATTTCCCTGGCAGCCAAGACAAAAAGTAAAAACATTGAGTAAAATGTTTAAAATAGAGGAAAACAAATTTTTCTCCTTTGACATGTAAAGGATTACTTATAGTGTAAAGGTAATAAGGTAATAGGAATTTCTTCTCTGAAAGTTTGTGGAAGATTAAGAAATGGCTTTTTTTTTTTTTTTTTTTTTTTGTTGGAGTCTCACTCTGTCGCCCAGACTGGAGTGCCATGGCCGCTCCCGGCCACTGTAGCCTCGACCTGCCGGGCTCCGGCGATCCTTCCGCCTCAGCCTTCCAAGTAGCCAGAATTACAGCCGCGTGCTACCACTCCTGGCTGATTTTTGACTTATTGTAGAGATGAGGTCTCGCCAAGTTGCCCAGGCGGGTCTCGAACCTGCATGCTCAGGCAATTCACTCACCTCAGCCTCCCAAGGCACAGGATTACAGGCTGAGCTACCAAGCCCGGCTAGAAATGGCTTTTAAAAAATGTAATTTAAGGCCAGGAGCGGTGGTTCAGCCTGTAATCCTAGCATTTTGGGAGGCCGAGGCGAGAGGACTGCCTGAGCCCAGGGGTTTAAGACCAGCCTGGGCAACTTGGTGAGAACTCATCGCTACAATAAATCACAAAAACTACCTGGGCGTGATGGCGTGTATCTGTAGTTCCAGCTACTTGGAAGGAAGAGGCGGAAGGATTGTCTGAGCCCAGCAGGTTGAGGTTGTGGTGGCTGTGAGCATGCCACTCTACTCCTTCAGCTTAGGCAACAAGAGTGAGACTCCAACTCAAAATAAATAAATAAAAAAAAAATAAAAAATGTAATTTAAAACTCTACCCACAAGGTAAGTTAGAGACGGACCTTAAATTCCATTATGTCCTCTTGCTGATAAGTGTGAAGGCATTTTGCCAAGAGCTAAGAAGATAGCTCACACAAGTCACATCTTTCTGGTAAGATGAGGATACTAGGCAGGACTTACAGAAACAAGCAGAGCATACTCAGTGCAACGGCTCTCTTACACTGACTACTACTAGCACGTGTGGCCTTATAGTTCACCTGCTGTGAATGCTCTCCAATAAGTGCATTAAGTATTATGATTCTGTTTTGAACAGAGTTTCCTATGGCTTATAAACCACTAGAATGGGAGCTTCCCAGTGACTAGGGACTTGTCATTGTCCACCACAACATCCTCAAGGCCTAGAAGAGGGCCTAGCAGGTAGAAGATGCTCAGCAAGTATCTGTTGATGAGTTGACACCCACGTGTTGGGACAGAGGTTAAGATTTTGCTGTGAAAACTGCGTTCAAGTCCTATTCCTATGCAGACACATTTCTCTAAGAAGAGGGTAGTCTGTGTCTGAGGTCTGGTCCAACATGTACTCAAGAACCAAAATTGATAAAATAACAAATAACAGCAACAAGTAAATAAAAACCCTGGCCGGGTGCAGTGGCTCATGCCTGTAATCCCATCACTTTGGGTGTCTGAGGTGGGAAGATCGCTTGAGTCCAGGAGTTTGAGGCCAGCCTGGGAAGCATAGCAAAACTCTGTCACTACAAAAAAACCAAAAAATTAGCTTGGTGGGGTGACACGTGCCTGTTCCCATCTACTCGGGAGGCTCAGGTGGGAGGATCACCAGAATCCAGGCAGTCAAGGTTGCAATGAGCCACAGTCTGGGAGACAGAGTGAGACTCTGACTCAAATAAATAAATAAGTAAAAAAATAAATAAATAACATAACATAATCAAACCCTGACAATGCTTCCCTCTCCACTACCCTTTTGTGCTTAAGGTATGTGTAGGTAAGTACTCTGCTGAGATGTCAGAGTTCTGCTCTGCAAAGCAAGAGAGAAATTACTTTGCTCTGAAATAGTTTCCAAGTCATAACTAGACCATGAGTGAAAACACTATGCTCCCAGGAAAAATGCAACTTTAATGAGCAGCTCTCTCAAGGGTAAGTGATGGCAAAAGTTACAAAAGGCTACCCATTGGATGGAATAACTTCGTGTTCCCCAGTACAACATCCTAGATTATCTATCACATACAGCAAGTTTTTTGGTTGTTTTTCTTTAAGTCAGAGTCTCACTGTCGCCCAGGCTTGAGTGAAGTGGCACGCTCATGGCCACCACAGCCTCAACCTGCTGGGTTCAGGCAATCCTTTTGGACTTGGCCTTCCAAATAGCTGGAACCACAGGCATGCACCACCATGGCCAGTTAATTTTTCGACTTATTGTAGAGATGAGGTCTCACCAAGTTACCCATAATGGTCTCAAACCCCTGGGCTCCAGCAATTCTCTTGCCTTGCCCTCCCAAAGTGCTGGGATTACAGGCGTGAGCCACCATGCCTGGCCAGCAATTTAAGTTTTATCATAGGTGATGCTAAGATGCATTGTCTGAAAATAAGTAGCTGAAATATTTAGCTGCTTCTAATGCCAGTGCAACAATTCTGGTATTTTGCCACTGGGGGAGCAAGTAGGACCAATCCCAATTCATCAATAGATGAATAAGTAACTACATAAATCAAGTTATTTACATGGAGGCTCAGTGGAAGAAATAATAATGTCTTTATTGAGTAGACTGTCTATGTGACTAAAACATCCAGGCAGAATATTTGCTGAAGCTTGACCAGATGTTTGGGTTACTGAAAACCAAGTCTACAGTCTGTGTCTCCGAATACAGCACTTAAGTACCTCATGGCTGGTGGTGGAGTTCTCTTTTGCTGATGCTATTTATCTGCTTGTTAATGCAGAGCTGATGAAAGACTCAACTTCAGAGTAAAGCAAAATCCCAGAATTTTCTGAAGATGGAGGAATAAAGTAAATATGACTCTTGAGTTACGAAATGAAGGCTCTGAAGGTGATGACTCCTCAAGTGAGGGGTTTGGTATAAACTAGGGGGTAGCAACGACAAGTGTTCGGTTTTCACTAAAAGGCAAATTGCTCATTTCCAGTTGCTAAATGTATTTAACTTTAACCAATTTAGACTCAAACCTAGGATCAACAGAGACAAGCAGGGTAAAAAAGTTCCCACCACACTCACCAGGAGAGAGAGTCACGTCTAGCCGAACGCTCTTCCACTGCAACAAGCTAGAGCCATTGTAGTGCACAGCTCGGCCATTGCTATGAAACATACAAAGAAAGGAGATCAAAGGCAAAACTCACCAGCCAACACAGAGGCAGGTAAGCAGCAAACAGGGGTCAGCAGATTGAGGGTAATTAGAAATCATAAGAGCTACTCTCTCCTGAAACATGAATATATTTCCAACTGGTATATTCCAAATATTGAGATTATTATGGTATAACTTTAGCATTAAGATATTCACACCAGTATTTCATTCATAGATAAAGAAAGATAAAGACAAAGACAGCTTTTTTATCACAGGACAACTGGGAGTGAATCTTGCTAATATGCACTGTAAATCTCCAGAAAGAGAAATAACACACTCCTTTCCCCATACATTTGAAGACAGAATTCTATTTTGGCTTCTTGTACTCCTAAAACACCTTGTGAGAAGCTACTGTTCTCTGGAATGTTGACCTAAATTTTTTTGTTAATAAAAGCAATAGTAGCCACTCACTTATGGAAAAGACAAGTGCCCACTGGGTTAGTCCAAGCCCCATCTCGTTTCTCTGCTTCTGTAGCGAAGCCAAAGGAAACTATCGGTCCGGTGTCGTCATCAGTATCTCCATAGGAAACAATTTCAATTTCCCAGTAAAAAGACGGGGCCTGAAGAGACACCAGAAGAGGGTGACAATCAGAGCACGCAGCCTGGGCCCTAGAACCTGCTTTTTCATTCACATTTGCAGGAAAGCAGCAGAAGACAGTGTCATGTGATGTCTCACCTGAATGGGCAGTGGTGATGTAGCATAGATAAAGGTGCCCCGGGGCAGACCCCCCCCAGCACTGGGGTCAGCCAGGAAGGTGACCGAGGTGAGGTGAGAGGAGAACATGCAGGCTCGAACCGGCGGGAACACTCGCGAGGGGCTCCAGGTGATCTCTTTGGGCTACATGAGGGGAAACCCACATTCAGTAGAATTGCAAACACCAATACCTTCACTATCTCAAAGAAGAAAAACACATCGTATCTGATGGTACTAAAATATAGGCATATATATCTCTCTCTCTCAAAAACATCTTTCTTAAAGGAAACTTTTCTTTATTAAAAGAAAAAGGCAGTACCTTTTCCTACGCCCAGTCCTGTTCCCCCCTAATATTCACTCTTTTAACTGTGTATATGTATGTTTGCTTTTTTTTTTTTTTTTTTGAGACAGGGTCTCACTCTGTGGTTGAGGCTGGAACGCAGTGGTATGATTTTGGCTCACTGCAGTCTCCACCTCCTGGGCTCAAGTGAGCTGGGACTACAGGCGTGCACCACCATGCCCAGCTAATTTTTCCTTTAATTTCTTTTTTTTAATTTTTGAGTGGTAGTCTCACTCTGTCATCCAGGCTGGAGGGCAGTGGCACGCTCCCAGCCACCGCGGCCTCAACTTGCCAGGCTCAGGTGATCCTTCCACCTCAATCTTCCAAGTAGCTGGAACAACGGGCACGTGCCACCATGCCCTGCTAATTTTTTGATTTATTGTAGAGATGAGGTCTTGCCAAGTTGCCCAGGCTGGTCTTGAACCCACAGGCTCAGGCAATCCTCTCACCTCGGCCTCCCAAAGTGCAAGGATTATAGGCATGAGCCACCGCGCTCGGCCTTCCTTTAATTTTTATAGAGACAAGATCTCAATATGTTGCTCAGTCTGGTCTTGAGCTTCTTGGCTTTAGTGAGCCTCCCACTTCGGCCTCTCAGAGAGCTAGGATTATAGGCATGACCCATTTTGCCTGGCCTCTTTTAATTACTAATCCTGATACCGACCTCTATATTTCTTTTTCTCACACTGATGCTATTTTTACTATCCCTTTAAGATATTATTTATCTTCCAAAACAACAAGCAAGGAATGTATTTATTCACTTATTCTTTTGAGACAGGGTCTCGCTCTGTTGCCCAGAGAGTGCAGTGGTATGTTTCTGGCTCACCGCAGTCTCCACCTCGTGGGCTCAAGTGATCCTTCTACCTTAGCCTCCTGAGTAGCTGGGAATATAGGTGTGTGCCCCATGCCCAGCTAATTTTTATATTTTTTGTAGAGACAAATTCTTGCTATGTTGCCTACATTGGTCTCAAACTCTTGGGCTCAATCAATCTTACTGCCTTGGTCTCCCAAAATGCTGGGATTATGGGGGCATGAGCTACTGCACTGGCCTGAATTTTTACATACGCTCCCTCCTTACAGGTGTGTACACACATACACTGCGCTCCATGCTCTCATAGTCTTCAAGTAGTTACAAAACAGAGTTTAATTCAATCTGTAACCAGAAGTTATATTCCTATGACTTAATATTCAACTCAAAGCTAAGCAGAGGTACCATGGTGACTTTTTTTCCACTTTCATAATTTTTAATCAATCTAATCATAAAAATCTCAAGCTTCTCTATCAGACAAAAACATATCTTTTTAACCCATCAATTTCATTGCATCCTAAAGAAAAAACTAAAAGGTACATGCAAAAATTCATTTCTGAGGGCATGCATCAGATCACCATAATGGTGAAAGCTGAAGATAACTTAGACAATGAAAGCCTGAGTGAATAAAGGAAGGTACAGTGTTCTGGGATATTAAGTTGCTACTGGTTGACACAGAAAGGGATTCACCACCTACTGAGGGGAAAAGTTGGATAGAAAACAGTATCAAGCCGGGCTCAGTGGCTCAGCCCGTAATCCCACACTTTGGGAGGCTGAGGTGAATGGATTGCCTGAGCCCGCAGGTTTGAGACCCGCCTATGCAACTTGGCGAGACCTCATCTCTACAATAAATCAAAAACTAGCCAGGCGTTGTAGTGCGCGCCTGTAGTTCCAGCTACTTGGAAGGCTGAGGAGGAAGGATCGCCGGAGCCCAGCAGGTCGGGGCTGTGGTGGCAGGGAGCGGCCACTGCACTCCAGTCTGGGTGACAGAGTGAGACTCCAACTCAAAAAAAAAAAAAAAAGAAAATAGTATCAACAGTAGAAATCTATTTTTGTGCAAAAAATTATAATATGTATGAATGCATTATAATTATTATATAATTATATATTTATATACATAGTTATATGATAATTATAATTATAATCAATGTGTTGACAATGGCAATTGGAGATGAGATTTCAGATGTAATTTTTTTCTTTTATATATTTTTACTTCTAAAAAATAATTTTAAACCTATAGAAAAACTGCAAGAATACAGCAAGTCTTGTATATGCTTACCTAGATACACATAACATATAATTCAACCATTTAAAGTATATAAATCAATGGTCTTTGGTCTATTCAGAGTTGTGCAGCCATCACCATGACCTAATTTTAGAATATTTTTGCCCCCATTGAAAGAAACCCTGTACCCATTGGCAGTCAATCCCCATCTCTCTTTCCCTTGACTTTCTGCTCTCAGCCCCTGGCAATCTCTAATCTATTTTCTGTGTCTATGGATTTAGGAATGGGATCTCACTATGCTGCCCAGGTTATATATTATATTTTATTTATTCAGTCATCAGTTGATGGACAGTTGCACTATTTTCACTTTTTGGCTATCATGAATAACGCTGCTAAGAACATTCACAGATACACCAAGTTTTAACACTGTTTCACTTTTTTTTTTTTTTTTTTTGAGTTGGAGTCTCACTCTGTCGCCCAGACTGGAGTGCAATGGCCGCTCCCGGCCACCGCAACCTCGACCTGCTGGGCTCCGGCGATCCTTCCACCTCAGCCTTCCAAGTAGCCGGAATTACAGGCATGCACTACCACGCCCAGCTGATTTTTGGATTTATTATGGAGATGAGGTCTCGCTGCCCAGGCGGGTCTCTAACCTGCGGGCTCAGGCAATCCACTCACCTCAGCCTCCCAAAGGCGCAGGATTACAGGTTGAGCCACTGAGCCCGGCCTCACTTTTGTATTTTAATTACTCTTTCATTCTCTCTATATACATACAGTACTTATTATAAAATGGACTGTAGATCTAAAAATTGTTTAAAACTTTCTTTTTGTTATTGATAACACATAGAAACTATACATTATTAAGTTCTGCTTTCTTGCTATAATTTTTCAATATTCAGAATGTCAGCTCAATCTGCTTTGACATTCAAAGATGATAGGGTATGTCATTGCAAAAAGCACACCTCCAAATGGCTCTGCAAACATTCTAAATGCCATTAACTTGCTAATGGCACTCCTCAGTGACATGTATGGCAGGAAGGGTGAAGCTGCAGGAGCTCACCTGTCTCCGGTCAGCTTGCAGGGGAGGCGGTGGGGGCCGAGCACAGTCCCGGTAGAGCATCCTCAGGCGTTCACACTGCACCTCCACAACTGCAAGTCGCTCTCCTGCAGATGTATACATTGAATCTGTGAAAATAACTCCCACAACCTCCAAGAGCATGCTGACTCTTTCAGAGTAGCGTCAAAATAATACAATCCATGTCTAGTGATCATTCAAATTTTTGCAAAAGAACAAATACCCTGAGACATCTTTGACTTCTACACATACTCAGTAGCACAACAATGTGTGCTCTGGAGTTAGACTGCCTGGATTCACAACCTGGCTCGAATGCTTGGTATGTACCATCTTATTTTCTTTTTCTTCTTTTTTTTTTTCTTTTTTCTGAGTCTGGGTCCTGCTCTGTCACCCAGGCTGAAGTACAGTGGCATGATCACGCTCACCACAGCCTCGATTTCCTGGGTTCAGGCGATCCTCCCACCTCAGCCTCCTGAGTAGATGGGTCTATAGGAGCATGCCACCATGCCTGGCTAATTTTTAAATTTTTTTGTAGAGACGAGGTCTCATTATGTTGCTATGGCTGGTCTCGAACTACTGGGTTCAAGCAGTCTTCCTGCCTTGGCCTCTCAAAGTGCTGGGATTACAGATGTGAGCCACTGTACCTGGTCTACCATCTTACTTTCAATACAGGGTTAACAACAGTAACTGTGTCTCATGGGGTTGGTGTGAAGATGAGATGAAATAACTTAAGTATAGCCCTTAGCTAAGCTCTGGCACAGGGCACTCAATAAATGAGAGCTGTTATTCTTATCTAATACATTAAGGCTATTTTTCTTATAATCCAAATTGATTTTTAAAAATCTAATATGTATTGAGCACCTCCTATGAGCAAAGCTCACTGGTAGATGTTGGAGAATACAAAGATGTGAGCCAAAGCCCCTACTCTGGGAGGGAAGGTAAGAGATGTACACACATATATATACCATAAAGAGGATAAAAGGACAATACAAGGCTGTAGTGTGTGATTATGTGATATAAGACACAAACAAGTAAAGATGACTCAATTCTAATATTTAGAAAGGTTTAATAAAAACATCATTATGTTAGATCTAAGAAAAGACAGAATTTCAATAAACAGAGAAGGAAGGGAAATCTGGGTGGCTTTGCACTATGAGAAAGGGTCTAGGATAGTCAAGTGCAAGAAGTATTAGAAATTTTTCACATGATACATAAAAACTAACTCAAAATGGTTGGTTCAAAGACCTAATGAAACCTGTAGCTAAAACTATAAAACTCTTAGAAGAAAATACAGGTGTAAAAGATCTTCGATTAGACAATGGTTTCTTAGATATGACACCAAAGTATAAGCAATGAAAGAAAATTAGGTATACTGGGCTTCATTAAAATAAAAAACTTGTGTTTCAAAGGATACTACACCAAGAAAGTAAAAAAAAAAAAACTCATAGACTGGAATAAAAGATTTGCATATAATATTTGATAAGGGACTAGTATACCTGGAATATATAAAGAACTCAACAATTAAAAAACAAAAAACAGACCCGCCTGGGCAACTTGGCGAGACCTCATCTCTACAATAAATCAAAAATTAGCTGGGCGTGGTAGCACGCGCCTGTAGTTTCAGCTACTTGGAAGGCTGAGGCGGAAGGATTGCCGGAGCCCAGCAAGTCGAGGCTGCGGTGGCCGGGAGTGGCCACTGCACTCCAGTCTGGGCGACAGAGTGAGACTTCAACTCAAATAAATAAATAAATAAAACAAAACAAAGGAAAAAACCGAAAAAAAAGGACACAGGCAAGAAAAAAAAATCCTCAACAATAAAATGACAAATCATACAATTAAAAAATGGATAAAGAGGCTGGGCATGCTAGCTCGTGTCTATAATCCCAAGACTTTGAGAGGCTGAGGCAAGAGGATCACTTGAGGCCAGCAGTTTGAGACCAGCCTGGGCAACATAGTGAGACCTTGTCTCTACAAAAAAAATTTTTTAAATTGGCAGGGCATGGTGGCACACACCTGTAGTTCCAGTTACTTAGGAGGCTGAGGCAGAATGATCACTTGAGCCCAGGAGGTCAAGGCTATAGTGAGCCAAGATTGTGCCACAGCACTCCAGCCTGGGCAACTGACTGAGACCCTGTCTCAAAAAACAAAACACAAAACAAGGGGTTTGAATAGACATTTCTCCAAAGAAGATATGCAAATGGCCAATAAGTATGAGAAAAGATGCTCAACATCATTTGTCATTAAGAAAATGCAAATTAAAACCATAATAAGATGCCACTTCACACCCTGTAGGATGACTATAATCTAAATGATGAACAATACCAGTGTTGCCAAGAATGTGGAGTAACTGGGACCCTTATTCATGATGGATGGGAATGTAAAATGATTCAGTCACTTTGGGAAACAGTGTCTCAAAAAATGAAAGCAATTCCTCAAAAGTTAAATGTAGAGTTACCATATGAGACAGGAATTCCACTCCTAGGTCTAGTTGCTAGAGAACTGATAACAAAATCCAACATTACATATGAATGTTTATAGCAGCATTATTCATAATAGCCCAAAAGTAGAAATAATACAAATATTCATAAATTGATCAATGGATGAATAAAATGTGATATACCCATACAATGGAGTGGTACTGAGCCAGAGAAAAGAATGAGGTACTGATATGTGTTATAACATGAATGAACCTTGAAAACATGCTAAGTGAAAGAAGTCTGATGTAAAAAGTCACATATATCATGATCTCATTTATGTGAAATGCCCAGAACAGGCAAATCCATAGAGATAGGAAGTAGACTGGTGTGCCAGAGGCTGGAGGGAGGAGGTAATGGAGGATAATGGGGAGTCATTGCTTAATGCATACAGGTGTGTTTTTTTATATTGGGGGAGGATAGAAATGTTCTGGAATTAGATAGTGGTGATGGTTGTACAACTCTCTGAATATATTAAACCCCAATTAATTGTACACTTTAATGAGGTAAATTGTACATGGTATGTGAATTACACCTAAAAAAACCAAACAGTGTCTTAGGAGGACTACGATGTAGTCTAGCAAAAGTAATGCACAGGATTTGTGTAAGATAGTGGTGAAAGATTTATTTACTTATAGCATAGCTATAGACACCAAAGAGGGAACCTGCAGACACATAAGATACAGTCCCATGAAATGTACTGGAAATAGATAAGAAATGAGGCAAAGATAAAACATAGTCAAAGAGGAGCCAGAAGTGAGTCCACGTCATGATGTGGGTGGCCAGGTTCTTTATTTATACTTGGGGTCATAAGTTTGGATTTGTGCTTCCCAGTGGTCAAATCAAAGAAGGAAATTGGTCAGTAACAGGATTTATCAAGTCCATTAAAGTAAACTAGTCATAAGGAGCCCAATTATTTTTTGTTAAAATAACTTAAAAAATTACTCTAGGTGATCCCATACACAAAATACTGGATGATACTATGAATAACATCTGCAACAATGTTTTTATAATCAACCAGTAACAAATTTCATGGTGATATTTCATATACATATATATATTTTTGGTTGTTGTTGTTTTGTTTTGGTTTTGGTTTTTTTTGAGTTGGAGTCTCACTCTGTCTCCCAAACTGAAGTTTTTTGTTGTTGTTGTTGTTGTTTTTTAAGTCAGAGTCTCACTCTGTCGCCCAGGCTGGATTGCAGTGGCACAGTCATGGCCACTGCAGCCTCAACCTGCTGGGTTCAGACGATCCTTCTGCCTTAGCCTTCCAGGTAGCTGGAACTACAGGCATGTGCCACCATGCCCAGCTAATTTTTTGATTTACTGTAGAGTTGAGGTCTCGCCAAGTTGCCCAGGCTAGTCTTGAACCCATAGGCTCAGGCAATCCTCTTACCTCAGACTCCCAAAGTGCTGGAATTATAGGCGTGAGCCACCACGCCGGGCTCATGGTGATACTTCAATGCAGAGAAATGAAATTATACAAAATAATAAGGTAAAAGCAATTCTTAGGGGGGGGGAAGAAAGAGAACAGGAGACTATTTGATAGTGTTAAGTCATGTTTGCCGTGAGGTGGGCTTACATAAGAGATTTTATAGTATGTAATGTGAGACTAAAATGTTCCTATACTTCAAATTCAAGAAAGAAAAGACTGATTGTTTTTGGCCATAGTAACTACCAGAACTGGGCTGTAAACTCATCCCTATGTATGAATGACAACTTTGCATCAGTAACTATGCTTAGAAAAGTCAGCCACTCTGTGACAGTTCTGTGCTTCTGATAATCAGGCACTCACACTATGGTCTCAAGAAGATAATAGTGACAACAATGTGAAAAGAGAGAGCATAAGAAGAAAAAGTTGATAAAAAGTACCTGCCTTGATGGTGTCTTTCACTGAGGTAGAAACAGATGGGTTAAAAAAAAAAAAGGAAAAAGTAAATCCTTAAGGAGTTGGTAGTGAAAGTAGGCAGGAAAGAGACATTTCGAAAGAATTTAAAAGGAAGAATGGAATATGGTAAGCGACTGGCTGTGAAGGGATGAGGAGAAGGCATCATATTTGACTCAGTATCTAAGCATCAAAAACTAGCCTGAGTATCATTAACTAAGCTGGGGAAGTCAGGAAGAAGAATGTATTCCAGAGTATTTGGGTTTTAAGAGAGGTTGGGGAGGGGGCTACTTTTAGAGAGGGCCTGTATCTCAAGAGAAATGGTCACCTCAGAAGCCATGAAAGCTCCAGAGAAGGGCAGGTAAATACAGAAGGCAGCCGGGCTCGGTGGCTCAGCCTGTAATCCCGCGCCTTTGGGAGGCTGAGGTGAGTGAATTGCCTAACCCGCAGGTTCAAGACCCGCCTGGGCAGCGAGACCTCATCTCTACAATAAATCAAAAAAAATCAGCTGGGCGTGTAGCGCATGCCTGTAATTCTGGCTACTTGGAAGGCTGAGGTGGAAGGATCGCTGGAGCC